CTGGGTAGAGAGATCCACAAGCATCTTGAAAACTGAACATGAGGCCAAAATACAGAAAGCCAACAAAAGCATGATTCAGATGAAACACGAGTAATTTCTGTCCCAGTACATGATTCATCTTAACTCCACATAACTATTGAGGCTGCCTAAACAGTAGCAGAGTCTGTAGGCTTTCATATCTCTGTGGGTAAAGCTCCTTCATATCAAATGTTCTGCCAACGCACATACGCCAAGGCAGATAAATGGCATATCTCAGTACTTATCTGAAGCTTCAATCTGCTTGACGTTCATTAACTAGTCACCTCTGGTGATGAAAGCCCAGAGCATGACACAGTTTCATTCCAAAGCCTGGCCACAAGAGAAGGAAGTGGTGGCCTGACCTTATTATTTGTAATATCTTGGTGGTTAGCGCACTTGATGAAGAAGTAGGGCACCTGGAGTTCAGTGTTCTCATGAGCCTGGGAGGGCAATCAGATGTGCACCTCAGGTCTCCTCTCCAATCATGCTTGCTCTGCAGGGAACGAGCAACACAGTCCCTCACAGCTAAAGGAAGGATTTAGCTGTGGATATGAGGACAGAAGCTGGGATGGTGAAACTCAATCTTACTTGAATAGCTGAGTCAACAATTTAGAGAAGGGCCAAAGTCCTGGTTGATAATTTCCAATTTTATGGTAATGCTGATGGGCAAGTTTAACGTTTACTGCTGACTGCTGTAAACCCCACTGCGCTGTGCCTACTGGTGTCTATCACTTTGTTGTGGTGATGCTGAGCTTCCAGCAGGTGCAGGTGGTGAGGTCTTCAGACACTTTCCTTATGATTTACTTTATCTGTCAACATTAGAATCAAAAATTTCCTAAAATTTATTCATTCAACCAAAGTAAAATTCAGGGAGATATTTATTTCAAGGAAATTCACAGACATCTCAATCTCCAAATGCTTGCACTGGTACAGATATCACTGGCTAACAGCTAAACTAAAGAGAAGAAATGAAGAGAGCGTGTTCACATTCTTTATATGAGAAACAGCTCATATCTGGTAGTGGGAACATATTTGTTTATCATTGTGTATCATAATTTCTTAACTAAGTTGCACTTGTGATGCATTGTTTTTCTTTCAAAAACTGATGTCCTCCTTGGATAGTAAACTATCAAAGGAAGAATATTTCCCAGCAAAACCTGTTTTTTGTAAATTCCAGAAATATTTTTCACTCTAACTGTGTTGTCATTGTTTTGCTTAGCATAGGTACCCACACATTCACACTCAGACATAGAATCAAAGAATCATTTAAGTTGGAAAAGACCGTTAAGATCATCCAACTGTAAACCTAACACTGCTGAGTCCACCACTAAACCACCTCCCTAAGCATCACATTCACATGTCTTTTAAACACCTTCAGGGATGGTGACTCCGTCACTTCCCTGGGAAGTCTCTTCCAATTCTTGAAAAGCCTTTCAGTGAAGAAATTTTTCCTAATATCTGACCTAAGCCTCCCCTGGTGCAACTTGAGGCCGTTTCTTCTCCTAACACTTGTTTCTTGGGAAAAGAGACTGACTGCCCCCCGCCCCCATCTATACCCTCCTTTTAGCTATTTGCAGGGAGCAATGAGGTCTCCCCTCAGCCTCCTTTTCACCAGGCTAAACAACCTCAGTTCCTTCAACCACTCCTCATAAGACTCCAAACCCTTTACCAGCTTCGTTGCTCTTCTGTGGACATGCTCTAGCACCTCAGTGTAGCGAGAGGCCCAAAACTGAACACAGTACTCAATACGTAGCCTCTCTAGTGCCAAGTACAGGGAGACAATCACTTTCCTATTTCTGTTGGCCACACTATTTCTGATACAGGCCAGGATGCTGTTGGCCTTCTTTGCCACCTGGGCACACTGCTGGCTCATATTCAGCCGCTGTCAACCACGTCTGCTTATAGAGCTCCCATAAAACATGAGTAAAGACAGCCATGTCTCCTTCCTCACCTTTGGCTGTTCAGTTAAGAAAGGATGTAATCAGATACATTTTATATTTTATGCTTAATAAGATCTTTCATAACCCTTTACTATTCCCCCTTTCATTCTTCCCCCACTCCCTTCCCCTGCACTTTCCCTCACCAGCTTCCATAGTTCATAGAATCATAGAATGAATTACCAGCCACCCTAGCCCCTGCACTGCACCCTTAGACCCACCAGTGGGAGGGAGAGCATCTGCCATATTCCACCCTGTGACCACAGTCAGGATTTGACTGGTTTTTTTTGGAGTGGTGTTGCAGTCACCTCTTACCTACAAAGTTAAAAGGAAGTGCAGTTGGGTAAGGTCAGTGCTCATTATGAATCATTATTCTTTAGCAACCCTACAATTATAACAGAACATCCATTATTTGGGTTGCTTCAAGAGGGGTATATTTAACAGTGGATGCAGACTGTGTCACCATGCACTTAGCACAACTTACTACAATACAGACAACAACAATTATAACTACAACCATTACTAACAACTGTAGAAGACTGAGTAATCATCCCAACAAAGAAAACCTGTACTTATTGGAAATGGAAAATTTCCTCAACTGGCTGGTGTTTATTGCAGCAGCAATTGCTTCCGAGTCCTTTGCTACTCTTTTCATTTTGTCGATATGGTCTCAAAGTTGTATGGATACATTTGGAATGTAAACACAGCAGTCATCTATGGGTAAGTTCAGCATCCTGCACATGCCTTGTTCTTTTATCAGCATTAGACCTGGCATAGTTTGATTCTGGGCAGTCATCTTTCTGGTATGCTGTAATTGTTTGTTTAAGAGTTCCAAGCTGTCAGATACACCAAGTGGCCTTGAATAGTTCAGTGTATTGTAGGGAACAATCATCTGTTTTCCACTGGGTGTTATGTTTGGTGGTTCCTCAGGGGACATTAAAGCAGGGCACTGTGCCATTAAAACCCCACCTCATGACCTTTTCAGGGGTTGGAAGACGTCGTTACACTTGGTTTCCCATATTGAAATTGTATTTATTGCATGGTGACCAGCTATAAGTGGTGTGAGTGTAGCATCCAACTTTCCTGTCTGTTCCCCAGACCCAAGTGTAATTATTGTATTGTCTCCAGGTAAGCTCAAGGGCTAGTGATATGTTAATATTTTGCACAAAGATTGGTAGGGGGTCCTCCACATTGGAGTCATGTGGTTAGTGAAGTTAAGTTTGCCACACGTGCAAATCCCACTATCGGTCCGGCTACCATGTTGTTGTCCAGACTTTGGCTATCCATGTCAGCCATCATTACTACTGTCAGCAGGAGTGTTGGAAGGATCTGCCCTCTTATGGTCCTGCAAGAGAATACTAGGTGTACCTTAGGCCTTGGGACAGGGTCTTAAAAATTAGGGATTATCCACCGAGTGCTAATGCAATGAACCTTCCCATCTAGTATTTCCCAGGCATGCAAGCCTCTCGACTTTCTCAGGGTCATAGGCATCATGCCAACAGAAGGCAGCTTTACCATGACAAGCTGTCCCACATATGTTTTTGATGGGAGCTAATGGGAGCTCTTTGATCATCCGGTGAGGGGGTGTAGCTTGTTGATGATCCAGTAGGGCAAAACACCCAAATCTTTGAGCTCCTATAGTCTCCCCAATGATTGTTTATGATGAATATTGCTTGGGGCAATCATAAATCCCAATTGTGACAGGACACATTGGTATGCCTTTTAATCAGGCTGGTAGTCCATTCTCCTGTGCCATTGTCCTGCGAGTACTACAGTGTGTGAATGAGTGATGCACAGTGCAATTGTTCACCACCCACCAACCCATGCTCGGCCTGTTCCCAGCTAGTGATCCCAGAGGAAGGAAAATCCCAGAAAAGCAAGAGAGCAAGCTTTCCAGACAATCCTTCTATATACTGAATGTGACGTTATATGGTATGAAATATCCCATTGGCATATCTAAATGTCAGTTTGGATCTGTTAATCTTACTATGCTCCCCCCAACTTCATCTGCACCTGCAGACTAGAAAACATGAGAAGTTGGAAAGTCCTTGATTTCTTAGCAACATAAAAAAAAAAAAAAGTTCTATATTATCAACATTCTTCTCGTATCAAATCTCATATTGAATCCAAAACACAGCACTATTCTAGCTACTAAGAAGAAAACTAGCTCTGTACCAGCAGAAACCAGGACATCCTAACATATTCAGCTTTTCCAAAAAGAGAATCAGTGTCAGCTAGGGACCGATGCCTCCTCCTTCTCTGAAATACTTTACTTCAAAACATTTGTTCAGGTGTCCTCTAAGAGTAAATCCAAACTAGATATCTTTCACCTTGTGCTCTCTTATTACTTTAATAATTTGAATTAACATTATATTAAGTTATCTAAATGTAGTCTCACATAGTCCTTATGCTAGAATATTAGTGAAAATCCACAGATGGAAAAATGTGGGCAATGTTTTACATGATGTGATATAGCAAATCTCATGGCAATCTGCTAATAGCAGATATTCTAGGTCCAAGATAGAGATACTCTAGGTCCAAGAGCTCTGCTTTAAAAGCCAGATCAACTTATTTTAACTTCATGAGCAAACCAAATTCAGAAGTTCAGTCCCCTCTGAGATCCTCCAGGGCTGCTACAGGAGATTTCTAGTGCTATGGTGAAGGGTCAGCAATACCCCTGAGCCCTCTATTTCTCCATCAGAAGTCTCTTTCCACTCTCAGGAAGTTTATGGCAACTGGCAAGGAGCCAGCCCCCACGGGCATGGGATGGAAATGACTTGTTCTCAAGTGTTTAGGAGTCTGACAAACTGTTCACAGTTGTAATAGAAATCAGCACATTTCCAGAATTAAAACCAACATCTTGGAAAGCAAAAATGCTCTGAAAAAGGACTTTTTTTAAACAAAATGCACAAGGGACCTTTCTTTAGTAAGCTATATAAATAACTTCCTATAAATCAATTATTTTTGTACTGATTTATTAACTGCTCTCCAGCTGTTCAGATTGGCACTTAAAAAAAAAATTCCTGGATGGTCCTACTGAGATTTTCAAAAGTATTTTCTCTGGAGTACTGTTGGTCCAACCTCACTGTATTCTTCCCTGGTAACCCACATATTCCTAAACCCTCTTAAACTGGCAAGGATGGAAGCACCAATCCACACAGAGTACCTCCGATCTTGTGGCGAGATGATCTTGACATGAGTTGAGTTGTGAACTCTCATCTGGAGCTCCTTCAGAAATCTCTCCTTGAAACCTCGGAAAAGAGTTGATCCACCAGATAACAGCACGTTCCTTAGGATGTTGGACTGGATATGCTCACAACACTTGGTGATGCTCTGGAGGACCATCTCCCCAACTCCTGGCCCTGGTATTCCTGCTTCTGCAGGCACAAAAAGAGCTTCAGGAGCTCGGAATAGCTGGTCTCCTGCCTTGACAGCCCTTCCGTCAGGGAGAATGTACTCACACGTAAGTTTTTCAGACTTTTCCTGCATCTTTTGTCTAGGATCTAAAGCAACATAGCACAGCTTCTCCTTCATATCCCTGACAATTTCTCTCTCTGCTGTGCTCACGAAGGAGTGTCCAGTCTCCAAGAGGAGCCTAGCAAGGTATTCGGTTACACCTCTGCCTGCAAAATCCAGCCTGGTAATGCCACGTAGCAAGTAACGGCCTTTGTAGACAGGGACCGTGACGGTGACACCATCACCACTGTCCAGCACTAGCCCAGTTGTGCGGGCAGAAGCATACAGTGCTGTGAGCGCCTGCAGAGTCACAGAAAGGGCAGGCACCTGGAAGCTTTCAAACATAGTCTCAGCCATTTTTTCTCGATGAGACAAAGGATTGAGAGGGGTCTCAGTCAGCAGCGCTGGCCTTTCACTCGGTTTCATTTTGAGTTCTTGTTCATATAGATAGCTCCAAATCTTCTCCATGTCATCCCAGGATGTAACTATCCCATTTTCCATTGGGTAGGTAAAAGACAAAATGCCCCTTTTGGACTGTGCTTCTTCCCCGACATAGCAGTCCTTATGACTCACTCCAAACATGACAAGTTTGAATTTGGGGTATCCCACAACTGTAGAAATAACCGAGCGTGGTGCCTGTTCCCCTGATAGACCAGCCTTACACTGTCCAGAACCAATGTCAAAAATCACCGCGCAGGTGTCTGCCACAGTGGAGTCAGGCATCTTGCACAGGATGGTGCTGCCCCTGGCAGTGGCTGCTGGCACAGGGTGAAACGTTCCAGATCCCCCAGCCACAAACAGGCACCACCCTGATGAGCTCACAATCCTCCACAGCTGCACCAGCAACGCTGCTTCCTCCAGGGAGCTGGCAGTGTGCAGCATTCTGATTCAGGGCTAGTACTTGGAAGTGAAACTGGGTGTTCTTACTTCCCAGATAAATTACAGCAGAGAATCAATGAATTCTTTTCAGACCCTCAGGCACAGAGAAGGGTTGGTTACAGTAATTGCATTTGCATTGATTTATATTTGGATTCTGTTTGGGGTTTTGCTGGGTTTTTCAAGGAAACATTTTTAATGAGGTAAAAAATAATGTGAAAGCTAGTTTTAGAATACAAAATCCAGATATTTCAAAGATCTTCAAGGGAAGAATCTCCCAGCACATGAGTTATGCTATTCCCAATATGACTCCAAGGCAGGCTGTGAGTCAGTTAAGGAGCTACTGCATCCCTGTGATATGTGCACACCGTAAATTCTGTGGTGGGGAAGGGGAAGGGAGATGATAAACAATAAGATCCTCATTACCAATGCTTTAGTGGCATGTTTTTTGTTTTGTTTTGTTATGTTTTTTTTCATACCGGTTTCATCAGCCAATAAATGCACAAGCAGCTGTAGCACCTTTTAGGCCAGTCAGCTCTCAGCAGGTTTTCTTGCGCATGTGTTGAAGTAGCAAGCTATTCACTTGCTCTGACATTCTTCTTAAAAGTATTTCAAGTGAATGACAGCTGCCCCAAAATCCTTGTAATTATTCATGGTGATCCAATTTTGTTTGGCAGGTGAGGATGGAGTCCCCAATCCACACGTAATGTTTTCTCTCAGGGGGTGCAATGTTCCTCACAAACATGCCAGCAGGCACCTGCTGCTACTTCTCCTTCAGGTTCCTTTCCTTCAGGCCAGGGAAGAGCATGGACACACCTGAGAGCAGGATGTTGCCATAAAGATTCCTGTGCACGACGATGTCACACTTTGTGATGCTGTTGAAGATTGTTTTGAACTTCAACTCCAATGTTTGCAGGCACTAAAAGGGTCTCTGGTGCGCAAAAGAACTGATTGCCTATCTGGATTATATTGTTGTCAGGCAACTGTGTTCTTTTATTATTTCTTCTGTCTTTACTTTCATTTCTTGGATGGGGTTGTGGTGGTGCAACCCCCTAGGCCACTCTGAGATCTCAGGATAAGCCCCTTTTTGCTGTTATCTTGGTTGCAAGTGCAGTAACCTGGAGCTGGGGTGGCCAGGCACCCCCTGGCCACACCTAGGCCACCTGCTGCCTGAATTGTCTACCAGAATGACTCAGCACAAATTATGGCCAGAATGGAGAGTATTGAGGGAAACCAATCATCTCGAGATGCTATAAATAGCAATCCAAAGGAGAGACCTTATGAGCTCTCCAGGACTACAGCGGGCTGTGTGACCCAGTATCTCCCCCTGAGTTGGGATGCCTCTCAGGGTGGATTTAGCGAGAATTGAAATATCACTGTCCACGATTTTGCAAGGACTCAAAGGTCTGATTTCATGAAGTTCACCAACCATCCATTGATGAATGCCAGCACACAAATGTGAGTAATTAATGAAACTCACAAAAAGTTAAAATTTATTTCTATAAAAAGTTGATAGAGACCACATGAAAAGGAAGGAGCACTCAATCTTGCTTAGAACACCAGTACTTCAATACTTGTGTATAGTGTAGTCCTTCTCTCAGGCCACATGGATCCACACAAATATTTATGTGTTGACACTGGTTCATAAGCTCTAAATGACAAGGACACTAGACTTCAGGTGAATCTGAAGTTAAAGCTAAATGGAGAGATAGTCTTTCAGTATTTTCTATCAAGAAACAAATTTAAAAGTCAGTTAAATAGCACAAATATGTTCTCATATTTTACTATAAGACAGTATTTGCAATTAAAATGTACACATCAATAAAATGTAATAAAAACCAATTCCTTAGGGCTCCTGGATGTCAGGTTCTCCACGAAGGACAGTGTTCTATATTATTTCTTTTAACTTGAAAAAAATAGAATAGCAGAAGTGTACAGTAAAATAAAGGTTGTATCCAACTTTGAAATTTTCCTCACTGAAACAATCAAGCCTGACAAAATCAAAGGTAAGGTAATCACTTCAGTTGCCCACAACATAGTTGGAAGCAGATATAAACTTTCTTGTATAGATACAAAGTCTTGCCTAATGCAGAGAAATACAATAAAAAGCAATTGCACTGATTCTGAAGCTTGTGCTAATTAACAAATTACTTTATAGAGCTACCTGAGAGGTAAAGTCTATTAAAAAATTGGTATTGTCACTGAAATCAGGAATAAACTTCTTAACACCAATGTAGTCTTAAGAAGCAGGTACCTCTTTATTACGGGACTGGATGCACGGGGGATCGCTCTGCCTATCGTGCATACTGACTCATCTCTCTACAAAAGCCTTATACTATCAAAACATGCATATTCATTACTTTCCAAGAAGTCATTAACATATTCATTACATTTCCAGGAACTTATTAATATATGTAAATGTTCCTTTTGCATGTGCACTTTCTCTCTCTGGTGGTTGTCACGGTCTTCTGGTGGTCATCATCACTGTGTCCTTTGGTTGTACTTTTCATTTGCACATACACAGTTCTTTCCTGGGCCTGTTTCCAACACTTCTGTCTGCCTTGTCCCAAGGAGTTGGCTCAACATATTCTCTTGTCACATGCCAGTGGTCAGTAAAACAAAGAGTCTTAATGCTTCAATGAACATTAAGGTAATAAATTTCGTTTTCTGAAATTCTGTGACGAAGATACATTGTTCTTAACTCCAGTACTAAGTTAACGATTAGAACAGGCCTGGGACTTTACAGTCTCTTCTTGGTGAGGTTTCTATGATTACTTAGTTCAAAGCTAACAATCCTAACGTATACATTATGCTTTACAATTTTCTACTTCTTAATTAAACTCAACTCTTCTATATAATCAAATCTTGATTACTTTGTCAAGTACTTGCAACACTATGACAATCTAGTCTGACTTTGCAAACAGTCAATTTAGCCAATTTAGAAAGTTAGCTTACATGCCAAAAAAGCTATAGGTTAAAGCACAGCTTCCAGAAAAGCGTGCAACCCTAGTTGGAATGTTTTAGTGATTTAAATCCAGCTTTCTCCTGCTCTAAAGATTAATGACACTTAGAAAGAAAAATTCCATATTTCCTAGTCCTAATTAACCTTAGCTTAATTTTCAGATATTTTATCACATCATTGTTAAGTAGAGAAAAGAGCACTCTATTATTAGATGTAATTCCCTCAGGTACATGAGAAGCAATAAAAGCTCAAAGAGAACTTCAGCAGACAGACTGAGCAGATCAGCCTCCCTTAGCCTCCTACTATAGTTCCTCAAACTCAGACTCATTGAAGACACCAGGCACAGCACAGAAACAACAACTGGAGAGGTACAAGGGAAACAACATCATGCTACAAACCAGTCATACCGTACAAATGTCTTAATGTCTTCAGATTGTTTGCTTCCTGCAGATGAGTGTATCATATGATTATTTTGTTTCTCTGTGTCATACAGTAAATTTTAAAAGCTTACTGCAGGCTGCCAGCAACTTTGGGCATCCCAGACCAGCTACCCTTAGTCCAAGTGTTGACATCCATCACTGTGAACTGGGTCTGGCTGAGATGGTGTTACTGTTGGTTGCTGACTCCTTTCTTCTGTGCTGCACTCTGTGTCAGGTCTGGCTCATGCTACTAGTGCTCAGACACCCTTGGTCAGCTCACTGAAATACTGCCACATCCCTCTCACCTCTAAGAAGGGAAGAGACGCTTTTACGTGCTATTTACTGTCTCCCTGCAGACCACAGGGCTGGGCATCTCTCTTGGGCTTCCATGGCAATGTTTTGGTGTTGAGAGGGCTGCAGGGGTGGCAACCAGAAGTTGCCCCTATATTGGACAGAGTCAGTACCATCCAACTCCAAGGAAGACTAGCTGCTGGCCAAATCCAGGCCAACCAACCCTGATATTAGGGCCTACAGAGACCCTAACATATTTCAGAGAGTGTAAAAACTACTGGGAGAGAGAGGAATGAGGACATATGACAGAGACAGCTCTGCAGACACCAAGGTCAGTGAAGAAGGAGGGGAAGGAGGTGTTCCAGGCACAAGAGCAGAGGTTCTCGTGCAACCTCTGATGAAGGTTGTCCCCCCACAGGCTATGGGGTCCACCAGGGAGCAGGTATCCACCCTGAAGCCATGGAGGACCCCATGCTGGAGCAGGTGAATATGCCCTGAAGGAAGCTGCAGTCCATAGAGAATCGACACAGGAGCAGCCTCTTGGCAGGAACTGGGGCCTGCAGAGAGGAGCCCATGTAGGAACTGATTTTCTGACAGGAGCTATGACCCCGTGGGGGACCCATGCTGCAGCAGTCTGTTTCTGAAGGACTGTACCCCATGGAAAGAACCCATGCTGGGGCAGTTCTTGCAGAACCGCAGCCCATGGGAGAGACCCCATGCTGGAGCAGGGGAAGAGTGTAAGGAAGATGGAGCAGCAGAGACGGAGCATCAGGAACTGAAGACAGTCCCCCTTCTCTATTCGCCTGTGTGAATGCCTTTCTTACTGGCTTCATAATGGACCAGCACCTCCAGGTGCAAAAGAGGGCTCTTCCTCCATTCTTTCCCTTCAAAGGTTTTAATGGTTGGACTCAATAGTCAAAGACTCAATAGACTCTTAGAGGTCTTGTCCAGCTAAATGATTCTATGATTCTATGAAGCTGACAACAGGAGGCCAAAGTGTTTTCACAGTCTGCAACTATATTATTAAATCCCCTGATTAGTGAGATTTTTAATTTCCATGGCAATTTTGGTGAGTTTTCTAATTTTGCTTTGGCTTTGCTTGTAGCTGCATCTCCCCTTGAGGATATGGCGACAACAGGAAGCAGTGGTTCTCTGCAACACAAAGAATGGGTTTT